TCAAGTACTTTCGTGTGTTTGGCATCAAGTGCTACATACTAAGAGATTGAGAAAAATTGGGCAAGTTCGATTCTAAAAGTGATGATGGAATCTTTCTAGGTTATTACAGAAATAGTCGAGCCTATCGTGTATACAACTCTCGTACACGGGTTGTGATGGAGTCCATCAATGTAGTGGTGGATGATGTCTGTAGTGAGAGGGAGACTGGAAGGAATGGGATGGAGCTGGAACACCTAACTGTTGATCCTTTCATGGTAGTTGAACTTAAAGAGACCCCATTTACGATTCCCCACGTATTTCTAATGGTTTAGATAGTCCCACTAAGGAATCCACATCTGATGATAAATATGAACCTCCTAAAGAACCCTCATCCCGCGTTAATAGGAATCATCCTAAAGTCCATAAGAGGGTGTTGAACAATTTGATGTATACTAGTTATGTGTCACAGATTGAGCCAAAGAAAGTAGAAGAAACTTTTAGGGATGAATTTTTGGTTAACACGTTGCCTGAAGAGCCAAATCAATTTGTGAGAAACAAAGTTTGGGATTTAGTTCCTATACCTAATGATTGTAATGTTATAGGTACTAAGTAGAATTTAAGAATAAAATTGATGATCAAGGTACTATATCTAGAAATAAGGCTAAATTGGTAGCCTAATGATATACTCAGGTCGAATGAGTTGATTTCGATGAAACCTTTACCCCGGTAGCTAAGCTTGAATCCATTAGAATTCTTCTGACTGTTGCCAGCACTTTAGGTTTTAAATTATATCAAATGGATGTCAAGAGTGCCTTCTTAAATTGAATACTTCATGAAGAAGCCTATGTTGAACAACCTAAAGGATTTATTGATCCTAAATATCCACATTATGTTTGTAGGTTGAATAAAGTTTTATATGATCTGAAACAAGCTCCCAGAGCTTGGTATGATAGGCTCACTACATATCTCATGGAACATGATTTCTCGAGAGGTAATGCAGATAGAACCCTATTTATAAGACATATTAAAGATCCTATTACGACAGCCTAAATCTACGTCGATGACATTGTATTTGGTTCTCCTGATGATTCTCTTGCTCATGATTTTGCTGAGTGTATAAAGCAAGAATTTGAGATGAGTATGATTGGAGAATTAAAGTACTTTTTAGGGCTTCAAGTCAAACAAACTGATGATGGCGTGTTCATTTCTCAATCGAAATATGTTAAAAACTTTGTCAAACTTTTTGGATTAGACAACAAGTACACTAGAACCCCCATGAGCACCAGTGTCAAATCAGGTCATAATCCTACAGGTAAAAGTGTTGATCAGACTCTTTACAGAAGTATAATAGGTAGTTTACTTTATCTCACTGCTAGTAGACCTGACATAACTTTTAGTGTAGTGATTTGTGCATGTTTTCAGGCTGATCCCAAGGAATCTCACTTGAGTGTCATACGACGCATCATCATATATGTCAATGGAACTGTAGATTATGGGATCATGTACTCTCGGGACTCTAACCTTGATCTTACTGGTTATTCTGATACCGATTGGGCTGACAATGCTGATGATAGAAAAAGCACTTCTGGAGGCTGCTTTTACATTGGAGCCAATCTTGTTGCTTAGATGAGTAAGACACAAAATTCTATCTCATTGTCCACGGAAGAGGCTGAATATATTGCATCAAGAAACTGCTGCACTTAACTACTTTGAATGAAGCAGATGTTGAGTGACTATGGTATTGAACATGGTACTATGACTGTGTTTTGCGATAACACTAGTGCTATTAATATTTCCAAAAATCCCGTTCAACATTCTCAAACCAAATATATTAACATACGACATCATTTTATTTAAGAGTCTGTGGAGACTTGAGTTGTAACACTTGAACACATTTCTATAGAGAACCAATTAACAGACTTATTTACTAAACCATTAAATGTTCTGAGATTTGAATTTCTTTGGACGGCTATTGATGTTTGTGTGCCTCATTAATTCGGTATTTTTGTTGCATGCTCGCGTTATGACATTGTGTGACATTGATTTATACATGTTTTATTTATTTTATTTTCATTTTCACTGTCTTTACGGTTGGTTGAGATATCATTTTATCATTCTATCAATTCAAAAAAGGGGGGAACAAATTTTTTATGATGACATTATTTTTTCAACTTAACATATGATGTACTTGATTTTGTTTGTTGTGATCAAACATGGGACTAATCGATAAGATATATCATGGTTTCCATTACTAGTTTAGGTTATTCATGGAGTACTTAGTATAGGAGTCTTCATGTACCTTCTGCACTGCACACACTATGATATTGTTAGTGAGACTCTACCGCGTATGTGAGATTTGAGATGGCAATCACATGTTAGTAAGATGACTTTGAACAAGATTTGACCATATGTATTAGACCTAAACTCAAGTTTATCCTTGGTATATTCTCTGAAAAATAAAAACAAAAATAAAATAATCATACAAAGAGCTCAATATCTTTTTTTTTTTTTTGGAGCATATTTGACTCGAGTAATTAAGCCTACAGGGTGTCTCATAACATGATGCCTATGATCGACTGACTTGGGTTAACCGGCCTAAAGCTCGCTACGGGGGTCATTTTAGTTGGTAAATGAAGAAAAGTCACACTTAAGATAAAAAAAAAAAAACAATAATGAGCTTCGTTTATTGAATGATATGACTCATATCACGTTGCTCATACTCAGGGGGAGATATAGTGCTTCAATTAATCATGAGATTTCCGTTACAGGTCCTAATGTGCTTTACATGATTTGTCTTTCATAAGTATAAGAATACACTTAATGGCAGTGGTGTTTCACTTATCATTTTTCACAAATTTAAGGTCTAGAGTCCTATTTTCAAAGGATTAGTAACACTTTACACATATGGTCGCTTATACAATTTACTCCATGATACCTTGAACTGAGTACGTGGGAGGTTTACTATTCCTTGCTTATCGTTGTGCCTGATTCATGACAGTATTTTCAAGTTATTATGTGTTACTATTCATATTTCATAATAAAAGTGAGGGTGCAAAGCATTTTTTTTATGTTCATTGTTTACAGGTTTACCCCTTGTCATTTTGTGACAAAAATGGGGAGTAGTAGTTTGTTAGATATGTTTTTGATGTAGTAGATATTTTGCTTTTAAATGGATGTATATATTTTTTTATCTACTTGATGTATCTAAGAATTTTTGAGGTTGATCATTTAATATATTCAGTCTGCTAAATTAAGTTTGATATTTTAGTAGTATCAATGTGTCTTCTTGGTATGTTGGGTTGCATTGATATTATATCTTGATTTAGTATGCATGATTGAAACTGAATAATAACATATGTTTCTAGATTGCTTATATTCTATAAACTGCTCGAATTGCTTTACTTATATTGTTTTCCACACATTTCACACTAGGTGTTGAGTTGTCTATTTCAGGAAATAAGTACTGATTAAAATACAGAATTTGTTCAAGTCAATTAGTTGTGTCATATGTTTTTTAGTCTGTAATTATTTTTGATTACTGTCTTAACTTTAGTTAGTAGTTTTGTCACAGAATGCCAAATGGGGAGTTTGTTAGGTTTTAATTGTATTATTGGCGATTCTGTAAACAAAATGGATTTAACTGTAAATGTTGTAAAAAGTTAAGAAGTAATGTGCAATTATGTGAAAATAGGTTTATTAGGTATAGGGTTCGAGTATGGCAAAAGAAGAAAAATACGGTGCGAATTTTCGCTAAACTGTTGCCATGGATTGGCTCGAGCGTAAAAAATAGAACCTCCATCACTTGACTGTCACCCTGCCTTGACTCGAGCGACAGCCTGTCGCTCGACTGTCGCTGTCATCGAGCTCTCGCTCGAGCGACAGGTTTGTTCGGGAAATTGTTATTTCTCGATTTAAAGGCTTTTTCCTAGGCCATTACTTTTCTAACCTACCGATAAATACCAAAACACATCTGAACGTGAATTACAAGGTTGAACATTGAGAGAGCTTCATCTGTGAGAGATTAATCATATTTTGTCTTTCAACCTTCGTCCATTGATATTGTTTTGGTGAGAAAAAATCGATTTCATAATCCAAAGACCAAATTGTTCTTTCCCTCACATCTGTCAGAACTGCTGAAAATCGAGTGAAGTTGACTAGAAGTTCCAGTCGTTGAAAAACACGGTGTTCTTCTAGGATCCACATGAGATAAACGATTTCACAAAGTTGGGAATTGCTACAAGAGAGCAGAATTCAAGAGAGTTTTGGAAACTGCAGTTGAGAGTGGTGCAGGAGCATATAATCCAGGAAAATTGTTGGAATTGCAGTCAAGGGATCAGATAATACGTGTCGTCCTCTAGACTGGTAGACTCTAAGTTACAAATCTTTTATAGTGAATTGTTGACCGACAAAGTATCCGAAATTTTTTTCAATTGGATTTCTCCGTGATCATACCATGTGTTGATTTACTGCTTTATTTATTATTTAAGCAATTTGCAATATTCAAATATATGATTAATTTGACGTAATTGTTTAACCATTTAGAGATAACAATTGATGACTTGTTACTAATTTATTATAATATTTTTAATTTCACAAAATATACCTATTCACCTCCCTCGAGATATTGTTATGTCAAACTGCGTAAATTTCACTTTGATATTTGGATTCCCTTGGTACTATTTTTGTAATAATTGCGTCCCTATTAGTGATTTATGTGGACATCTTTTAAATGTTTGCATACCGAACTTCTCTAAAAATCTATAAATCAAGTCCAAAACACGTGATTTTTAACGAAATTTTGAACAGAACCCATTAGTCGGAACTCAATTGCTATAAAAATGGAATGTGCATTTTAAGGGATTCGAATGCTAATTTTTGGATGCAGTTTTCATAAATTATAATAAAAAAGTTTAGTTTTGAACAGTGTATTAAAACTAAGACCCACTTCAGTAAGTGGCATTGGGGAGGAGAGAATTCAAGTATGCTCCATATCATATTCTGGCTCCCACGACAACCCTGAACTACGAACCTTTACTTAAGTCATCTCCAGGTACATCATCTTCGTCGTGGTAGATGTTCTCCGCCATCTTCCATATTTGTAATACGTTATCCTCAGCGACACTAGCAATAACCCAATCTTCACATGGATTCCACGAGAAATCAGACACTTTGCTTGTGTGACCACCGTGAATAAAAAGCAACTCTGGTGGCCCTTCTTCAGAATCCTCTGGTGTTTGTTTTTCATCAATCCTATGAAGAAGAAAAATGAAATTAATTATCAAGTGTGATACTGATCTCCATGTCTCTCAAGTTAATCGATAAAACCAGTGTCTCAATATAAAAAAGAGTTCGATAAATCAACAGTTGGTGAAGAAAGGAGTTCAAACTGTAATGTGATCAGTGAAAATTGTAGTAAAGCAGGTATTTGAAACATAGTTTTCAGCAATAAATATTTTCGTCAGAACAAGAACAATCAATTAGCACAGATGTCCCTGTTTATGGCAAAAAAAGAAAAATTAATTAACATAGAAAAACAGAAACAGAGTAATTGGATGCCAAAAGCACTACATTCATCATGTTATCTTACAAAAAACAAGAAAAGAAATTACCTGCTAAGATCCCACACCATGAGCCTCCTACCAAGACAACAAGAAGCTAAGATAGTCTCATTCTTTGGATGCCATCCAACCTGGAAAACCGCCTCTCTGCCATTAAACCACGACAGCATTGTTAGCAAATATTAATCCACCAATGCATACAGATCTATACGGTGATGAGATCCATGCTAAAGGACTAACATGAATTTAAGGAACTTCCTTGAAAGCAAAATGCAAGAAAACCCTCTTACTTGTGACAGTCAAAGGTATGGAGCGCAGAAGAAATCTTTCGAAGATCAAATAATTTAACAGTCTTGTCAGTAGAACCTGTTGCTAAAACCCACTCGTTCAATGCATTGAAAGCTAAACAGTTTACCTATCAATGATTGAATGGAAAAAAGTCACTGTCAAGTATGCAAATCCCTTCATCTGAACATTGGTCAACATAATTATACAAAATGAAAAATCTGGTGTCTACGGGAAAAATCACCGTGCATAATTAAAAGGACAAGGATGGATCACACACAAACGAAGCATTTTTATCCCTTCTGTGTAGTAAGGATGGTTAAAGGTATTAATAGATTAGCTAGAAGTGCTGAAAACCCAAATATAGTGAAAATTCTTGCCCTGTTTGAGCCCCATTTTTGGGGGATAATGTATTTTGGAATAGTGATTTTTTGGAGAATGTGTGGTTAAAAAGAAGGAAAAGTTTTGGGTTTACGTGTAAAATTATTTCATGGGAGAATGTGTAATTTAAAATGAATTTTTGGAAAAATGGAGGCCAAACATACATTTAGTATCTTGACAATCTAAAACCTTCTAACGAGAATATTTCCTTTCAGTCACGTTGAAGCCTTGGCTTATCTGAAAAGATGAAAACTTAAAATGAGCTTATTTCAGTAAACCCTAATGTTCCCTAAGGAATAATATAAACCAAAGGTTGATTTTGTTCATAAACACTGTAAGCGGTGAAGTGCATCATTACATAAGTTGACATTTATAGGCTACCAAGACTACACATGAAAAGAAAGCAATTAATTTTACCGAAAAGGTACTTAATAGAATCACCTTTAACAAGGACAGACAATTTAGACCATTGTGTGCAGACTTCATTTAAAATAGTTCCAGGGCAGTACATGTGAGCATGAGTTTTTGTGTATTCCAGGTCTTGACTATAAATTGCAATAAATGTCAGTATACAGGTATATGATAGACAAATTCATCTAGAAAGTGTTTCCATACTCTGGTTCCACTTTAAGGGTCATTGAAAAGAACTTATAGTCACCTCACTTTGATGAGCAACTACAGATTGAATAGGTTTATTGACTGATGAAGTGCGGAGATCCCATATGTGCAGATACTGGTCATCCCCAACCGAACCAAACAAGTATTCATGCCTGAGATGCCATGCAACATCCTCTACAACACCTTCATGGATCTATTCTCAGCAAATATTCGATAGTTTTCAATGAAACCATGCATTTCAAGGTAAGAAAAGTTAGAATTAACCACCTGTAGGACAAAATTTCCCATTCAATGTATCTCGTTTATAGGGTGCTTCCAATGTAGACATACCTTAAAAATTTGCATTGCATCTAGAGCGTCGTCCTTCGGAGTTGCACTAATGTCCCACAAGCATATTTGGTGATCGTCAGAACCACTCAACAAATGACCTTGCTTGAACGGACTCCAAGATAAACCATACCCTTCAGAAATGTGGCCCGTCAGCCTCAAATCAGGGCTGCATGGACCATCCAAAGGAGGCTTAGACGGATGTTTGCTATAATCAAAAACATAAACTTCTGCACTAACTGTCTTAGTGGCAATAATAAAAGGGTTTTGGGGCATATAACGAGCCCGAAAGGAGGCTTAGACGGATGTTTGCTATAATCAAAAACATACACTTCTGCACTATCTGTCTTAGTGGCAATAAAAAAAGGGTTTTGTGGCTTATTACGAGCCCGGTTGACTTCTCCTTCATGATATATCTGCTGTATAATTTGCACCTGCAACATAAATACTCAGTACACTATTGTGTATAACCACAAGCCTCAAATTGCACAGAATGAAAAAAGCCGATTTTTTCGTGTGATTGACAAATTAAATCAAAGGAAAAGTTAGTCAGGAATTTATCAGATGCTACTTCGGCATTAACTACCTCTGCATTTATATATATATATATATATA